TCGTTGTCAGGAGAACTGTTCCGATACCAAATTGCAATGAACCCAGATCGTGAAGACAGTCGTCAACAATGCAAGCCCAGATGAATGTCAACCAGCTTATGATTACCAATAGTCAAAATCGTGCCCAAACAGAATGAGATGAGATAATCATACACCGACGAAGAGAGAGGAGGGAGATTAGACAAAGGAGAGGAAATAGGCCCACTCCTCCTTCAGGCTCCCTCCTCAATCACCACCTCAATAATCAATAGTCTGGACGAGTATCTGAAGTAATCTCATGAGCACTGGAGCAATGTCGACATGAAGACCATCAGATACGTATCCACGATCTCTCCACAGTCCCGATCTCCTCCCGAATGACGATAATCAGAACAGCAATACAAGTCACGTAGCTTCGCTTCGTCAGAACACGTCACAGCAGCCACGTCACCCAATGATACACGTGGCAGCAGCCACATCAGCGGTAGCGCATGGCAGCTGCCACGTCAGCATGCCAAGAAGACAAGTGCAAGCCAGCCACCATGCCGGACCAGCAGCGCCTAGCAGAATCACAATGCCAGCTTCGCAGCGTCGAGCCAGCATTGAAGTCAACGCGTGAAGTCAGCATCAACACAAGACAGAATGAATGTCAAAGCTAGGAAGTTGTCGCTAATGTAGCGTTGACACCGGGTCTGGACCCCGGATGCTGCATCCCTCAACCGTCCAGATCTCAATGCAAATGAGGGCCCAAATTGTTCTGAAACTGAATTCCCTCCGGCTTGGATGCTGTCTGGGTACCTGCGCACAACACGTGAGTGTATCCAACCAAGGGCCTGGGTGCGGTACCTTTGACTCTACAGTTGACTTTGACCCTTGAATTTCCTGTGTGCAGCGTTCGGTCACACAGCCATACGCGACAGACTCAGGCCTGGGCATGTCTTGGTCACACAGCCGAGCACAGACAAACTCAGGTCTGTGTTGCCTGGGGCTGAGTTCTGGGCCCCAGGCTACTTCTGAACAGGGTTACTACATAAGGAACTGCCCTATCACATGCTGCTTCTTTCACAATAAGAAAAAGAGGAGCCTGAGAGCAGACGAAAACCCGCGTGCAAGAAAATAGCAGGGAATACCATCGAACATTCTTTTTTCTTTATCTTTGCCTATTTTGTTTGGGGAGCCATTACCTTTGCAGCATCGTTCTTGTTTTGCGCTGTGCAAGAACTCTGGACTTTTCTTAGAAAATCCAGAGGCCGAGCGGCCTGGAAGTCTTCTCACCAGTGAAGTTTGTGCCACGTCAGCAACCCCGGCGTATCTCTTGCCACGTCATCACCTACTTAACACACGTGTGCACCACACTTACCTGCGCGCCACCTGGCGCGTGCACACGTGTACAATCGTCGTTGTCAGGAGAACTGTTCCGATACCAAATTGCAATGAACCCAGATCGTGAAGACAGTCGTCAACAATGCAAGCCCAGATGAATGTCAACCAG